AATGACCTGTATCAATACAAACCTCCTAGGAATAAACGACGACATATTATGAACACAAGAAAAGGAAACAAAAAAATTACCTTTTTCCTTCTGATATTTTGTAAATTAAAAATGTTTGCTTAAAAGTCACTAATGAAATAATTCACATTTATTATACTAATTAAAATAAATGCATAAAATCAGATAATATAACCATTATAGACCAATTCTTTAAATCAAATATATTTTTATTTTGGTTTTACTTACAAAGGACTAGAACTGCTTGGTTACAGTGCTTTAAACAATTTTTTACCACATTGGCCATTTCCCACTGAGGCAGGGTGACCCAAAAAAAGAAAGAAACACTTTCACCATTATTCAACACTTTCAACATCATTCACACATAATCATTGTCTTTGCAGAGGTGCCCAGATATAACAGTTTAGATGTCACTCCAAACAGCATATATCCAATATCCTATATATATATATATATATTTTTTTTTTAACATGTCAGTTGTCTCCCACTGAGGCAGGGTGACCCAAAGAGAAAGAAAATCCCCAAGAAGAAAATACTTTCATCATCATTCAACACTTTCACTCATACATAATCACTGCCTTTGCAGAGGCACTCAGATATGACGGTTCAGAAGTCCCTCCAAACTGCCAATATCCCAAACCTCTCCTTTAAAGTGCAGGCATTGTACTTCCCATTTCCAGGACTCAAGTCCGGCTAACCGGTTTCCCTGAATCCCTTCACTAAATATTACCCTGCTCACACTCCAACAGCTCGTCAGGTCCCAAAAACCATTCATCTCCATTCACACCTATCTAACACGGTCACACATGCTTGCTGGAAGTCCAAGCCCCTCACCCACAAAACCTCCTTTACCCCCTCCCTCCAACCTTTTCGAGGACGACCCCTACCCCGCCTTCCTTCCCTTACAGATTTATCAAATCTCCAAGTCATTCTACTTTGATCCATTCTCTCTAAATGACCAAACCACCTAAACAACCCTTCTTCAGCCCTCTGACTAATACTTTATTAACTCCACACCTCCTCCTAATTTCCACACTCCGAATTCTTTGCGTAATATTTACACCACACATTGCCCTTAGACAGGACATCTCCACTGCCTCCAACTGCCTCCTCACTGCAGCATTTGCAACCCAAGCTTCACATCCATATAAGAGTGTTGGTACCACTATACTTTCATACATTCCCTTCTTTGCCTCCATGGATAACCTTTTTTGTTTCCACAGATACCTCAACACACCACTCGCCTATATATATATATGTAAAACAAATACAGTAAATACAATGGACCCCGGCTTACGATATTATTTCATTCCAGAAGTATGTTCAGGTGCCATTACTGAGCGAATTTGTTCCCATAAGGAATATTGTGAATTAGATTAGTCCATTTCAGACCCCCAAACATACACGTACAAACGCACTTACATAAATACACTTACATAATTGGTCGCATTGGGAGCTGATCGTAAACCGGGGGTCCACTGTATTTCAAAACTACAGTGGACCCCCGCATACCGTACGCATCGCATACCGTACAATCCGCATACCGCTCGCTTTTATCGCAAAAATTTTGCCTTGCATACCGCCCAAAAACCCGCTCACCGCTCTTCGTCCGAGACGCGTCCAATGTGCGCCCTCAGCCAGCCTCACATGTTCCGCCGGTGGCATTGTTTACCAGCCAGCCTCCGCGGTAACATCCAAGCATACAATCGGAATATTTCATATTATTACAGTGTTTTCGGTGCTTTATCTGGAAAATAGGGGACCATGGGCCCCAAGAAAGCTTCTAGTGCCAACCCTACAGCAATAAGGGTGAGAATTCCAATAGAGATGAAGAAAGAGATCATTGATAAGTATGAAAGTGGAGTGTGTGTCGCCGACCTGGTCAGGTTGTACAAGAAACCCAAATCAACCATCGCTACTATTGTGGGCAACAGAAAGGCAATCAAGGAAGCTGTTCTTGCCAAAGGTTTAACTGTGTTTTCGAAACAGAGATCGCAAGTGATGGAAGATGTTGAGAGACTCTTATTGGTGTGGATAAATGAAAAACAGCTAGCAGGAGATAGCGTCTCTCAAGCGATCATAAGCGAAAAGGCTAGGAAGTTGCATGAGGATTTAATTAAAAAAATGCCTGCAACTAGTGATGATGTGAGTGAATTTAAGGCCAGCAAAGGTTGGTTTGAGAGATTTAAGAAGCGTAGTGGCATACATAGTGTGATAAGGCATGGTAAGGCTGCCAGTTCGGACCACAAAGCAGCTGAAAAATATGTGCAGGAATTCAAGAAGTACATAGACAGTGAAGGACTGAAACCTGAACAAGTGTTTAATTGTGATGAAACAGGCCTGTTTTGGAAGAAAATGCCAAGCAGGACCTACATTACTCAGGAGGAAAAGGCACTCCCAGGACATAAGCCTATGAAAGACAGGCTTACTTTGTTGATGTGTTCCAATGCTACTGGTGATTGCAAAGTGAAGCCTTTATTAGTGTATCACTCTGAAACTCCCAGACCGTTCAGGCAAAAGAATGTCCTCAAGGAGAATTTGTGTGTGCTGTGGAGGGCAAACAGTAAGGCATGGGTCACTAGGGACTTTTTCTATGACTGGTTACACCATGCATTTGCCCCCAATGTAAAAGATTACCTAACTGAAAAGAAATTAGAACTTAAGTGCCTCCTGGTGTTAGACAATGCCCCTGATCATCCTACAGATGTGGCAGAGCGACTTTATGGGGACATGAAATTCATTAAGGTGAAGTTTTTGCCTCCTAATACCACTCCTCTCCTGCAGCCCATGGACCAGCAGGTTATTGCAAACTTCAAAAAACTGTACACAAAAGCTCTGTTTGAAAGGTGCTTTGTAGTGACCTCAGAAACTCAACTGACTCTAAGAGAGTTTTGGAGAGAGCACTTTAATATCCTCAATTGTGTAAACCTTATAGGTAAGGCTTGGGAGGGAGTGACTAAGAAGACCTTGAACTCTGCTTGGAAGAAACTGTGGCCAGAATGTGTAGACAAAAGGGATTTTGAAGGGTTTGAGGCTAACCCTGAGAGGATTATGCCAGTTGAGGAATCCATTGTGGCATTGGGAAAGTCCTTAGGGTTGGAGGTTAGTGGGGATGATGTGGAAGAGTTGGTGGAGGAGGACAATGAAGAACTAACCACTGATGAGCTGATAGATCAACTTCAACAGCAAGAGGCCAGACCTGAGGAAACTGGTTCAGAGGAGGGGAGAGAGAAATTGAAGAAGTTGCCTACTACAAAGATTAAGGAAATCTGTGCAAAGTGGCTTGAAGTGCAAACCTTCATGGATGAATATCACCCTCACACAGCTATTGCGAGCCGTGTTGGCAACCTGTACACTGACAATGTTGTGAAACACTTTAGGGAAGTCATAAAGGAACGAGAGGTACAGGCCACTATGGACAGATATGTTGTGCGAAAGAAGTCCAGTGACTCTGAAGCTGGTCCTAGTGGCATTAAAAGAAGAAGGGAAGTAACCCCAGAAAAGGACTCGACACCTGAAGTCTTAATGGAAGGGGATTCCCCTTCTAAACACTAACACTCTCTCTCCCCTCCTCCCATCCCATCAATCATCACCAGATCTTCAATAAAAGTAAGTGTCATGTAATTGTGCATGCCTTTTTCAGTTTGTGTGTATTAAAATTAACATTTCATGTGGTAAAAAAAAATTTTTTTCATACTTTTGGGTGTCTTGCACGGATTAATTTGATTTCCATTATTTCTTATGGGGAAAATTCATTCACATACCGAACATTTCGCATAACAACCAGCCCTCTTGCACGGATTAAAGTCGCTATGCGGGGGTCCACTGTATATCATCAGCTACTTTCAGCAACTCAGTCTTAAGTTCATCCATGTCCCAGTGTTTTCTCACCTGTTCAACCTGCCCACTGCTACTCACTTGCTCCACTCACCTCTTGAAGATCCTTTCTAAAAAATTCCCATTCCTCCCTGTCCCATGCACAAACTCTGCGAAACTTTGCAGAGACGCTAAGATACAACATATGTTAAGTAAATGTACACAGATACAACTAATGTGGGGTTTTATTGTGACTTTCCAAGATATCTGTCAAAACATTAACAGTCTGACAAAGCTCCTGGAAAGCAAATCGCTGCCACAATAAAATGTCACATTAGTTGCGTCTATGTCCATTTACCTAACATGTATTGTAGCTTTTCAAACATTAAATTTATATCATCATTATCAACTTGCTACTGTTGTAACCAAAGTTGTAATCACAAAGCAAGTAAAATTATTCAAAGTCAATTGTTCACATCCCACATACTCATAATTTGTGTGTCATTGGTTATAAGTTTTTGCAAATCCAGACAAATAGGCCAAAAATTCATGTGAACAGATTCTCGGTTACTAGTCAGGCAGCATCCTTTGAAAAGAGTGTCACCCACCAGAGAGAGGAGGCACCACTCCTACTAACAAACTGCTCAAACACCACCACTGAGTTAGGGTCATTTGGTGTCAGGGAGTAATATACAGTATTTTTTCAATAATATTTGCAGGATCGTAAACTAGTCTAAAGGACACAATAGAAGATAACATAAATCACATCCTTAATGCCACGTTAAAAAAAATTAATTATTCGCACACACTTGTACTTTGAGTTTTAACCCTTAAATGGTCCAAACGTATATATACGTTTTTTCATCATCTGAAAGTATGTAAAACAAATGTATATCTTCTTTTTTGTTTTACATTTGAAAACGTGTAAAAAAAACTTTTATCTACATTTTATTTTTTGTTACATATGAAAATATGTTAAAAAAAAGTAGATCTACTTTTGTAGCACTACGAATTTGAACGTCGATTTGTTTGGACTATTTAAGGGTTAAAAGAAAATTGAAAAAAAAAAAAAACTACCAAGATTAACTAATTATAAAAAATGGTATAAAATGAATGTTTTTAATGTCTCTCTTCCTATTTTACTATGTGATATAATCAAAACTTGCCCAATAATAGAATGTGTTGCCATCATGAAGCTTCTTTCTACTTGAGTTCCGTCTGTATCACGGAAAAGTTTAGATTTTGTTTGCACGCGAATATAACGATCTCCACCAATCTGAAATGTGAGTTTGGTGTTTTAGTTGTAGAATATTCATATTTTATTAATTATTTTCTGTAGATTCATAATTTATAAAAGAGTAAGAGGCACTTTATCTGTCAAATACTTTCCCAAAAACATACCTTACTCTGCCTGCCAAGGATATATAAAGAACACTCTACATAATAAATTGAAATCCAACCACATTCTCACAAACTAATCAAAGAAAACTTTCTAATCTTCAGACTTTTAGCCAAATTGAGTGTCTTCAGTCATCTGATATACCCACATTGTACAATGCTGCATGAAAATTTGGATTCATCTCATTCACTGCTTTAATTACAATTCATTCAGCATACTTTGGTCTTGCATTGTACGATGTTTATTTCATTCTCTTTTAACAGTGATAATTTTCAAGTTCGCACCCAAATACCATGCTAAAGTAGCATTCAGAGTGCCCAATTATATTCTTGACTTGTACAAACTTAACTCATATACTAACTGGTGAAGAGGACCACCTAACAAAAGGAGACATTTTTATTGACAATGTTTGATAGAGCAGGTACTGAAAAATCAATTACAATACATCTGTAAGAATGTTTTAGTAGCAGAGTAGGAAAAATGTAAAGAGGGAGGAGCAGAAGATGGTGGGTTGGAGGAGGAGGAACAGGTAGAAGGCAAAACAACAAAAAAAGTAAAAAGAAAATTAGAAGCAACTAGACTGAAAAATGTGAAGAAGGGGGAAAAAAGCAGAGAAAATAAGGAGAGAGGATAGAAAGAAGGCTATGAGGATGAGACAGGAAGGAGAAGCAGAAAGGAAAGAGGGAGAGGAATGGCAGAAGAGGTGGGTATGACAAATGAAAAGGTGGAAGAAGAGGCAGGAGGATGGAGAAGCCTGGGCAATGAAGAAGATAAAATGGAGGAGAGGGAGAAGAAAGACGAAGACCTTTCTCTTACATCCTTGTTGGCAGCCTCTACTCTACAAGTCTACCATTTTACTATTCTTTTAATATAATATTAAAGTCCTACTTCATACAGTCAGTAATTCCCAATGCAACTTATGGCATTTCTTTCATCCTTTAGCAAAATCTTTTATACTTAAAATTCAGAATTATATTTGTCCATTTTTTATATATAATAAGTCTTTTTTTTATCTTGTTTTTCAACAAGCTGGCTGTCTCCCACCAAAGCAGGGTGACCCAAAAAAGAAAGAAACACTTTCACCATCAATCCTATGTTAATTAAGAATAATATATGAGAAGATAGCAAATACAGAAAATATTTCTCAGTAAGGCAATTAATCTGTCAACCTTTATTTGATTTTTATATTTCTTCCTCTGTTTCCATGTCAAAATATTTCACAATCATTTCATACAGCATAAACAAAATGCCAGGACTTAATTATCAATAAATGGATTGTTATACATTTCTGAGATTTTTGGTTAATAATATTTTTACCTTAACCCGATACACCTGTGAGGTAGCTTGCCCAGACTGCACAGTTTCTTGGAGGTGGCCTGTCACCTTACCAACGTCCCCTGGAGGAATCAATTCTATGAAGCGCTCACCAATTCTTTCCTGCAAAATTAAATGCTAAGCTGTTTAAAGAGTTTTCTTTACTGACCATGCTTCCAGCAATGGCACAGCTGTTTTGTCATAGTACAGGAGCAGTATTTATGAGCTTTGGTGTCACTGCGTATCTCACCCAACTGGTTGGATATTTATGAACAGGAGTGGTTAAGAACACAAGTAATGACGTATATTAAATGTTATATACCTAAGATGAGTTCCGAGGGTTTTTTACTCTCAGAGCCCAGCCTTAGGCCAGCCTCGTCTGGTGTTACTATGATTACTACAGTAGCTTACAATAAATGAAACACTAATACAGTATAGCCTCTCTTCACTTAACGATGGAGTTCCATTCCTAAGACCACCTCAGTAAACGAATTCGTCGCTAAGCAAGAAGCATACTATAATGGTAGCGGGTTTGTGTCAGTCATCTTTGATATTGTTTTAATGTCACCTTTGCACCATTTATAACATTTTTAGTATATTTTCAAACGTTTATAAAGTAGGGTACTGTATGTTGTGATAAACAGAATAGAGGAAAGCAGCTCTAATATACATTATTTAGGTATGAATACTGGTCAGAGAGCCTGTTGTAAATCTGAGTCATCGGTAAACGAGTATGTCGCTAACTGAGGAGAGGCTGTATGTCATAAATTATTTATAAGAAAACAGTTACAAAAAGTAGCTATTGGCCCCCTAAGGTGCACCAGTTGAGATTAACTCCTTAAAGAAGTGCAACTAGGATAAGCAAATGCACATTTCTCTCTCTCTCTGCTTTTATTCTCTTATTTTTTAACAGAGTAGCATTACAGCACAGTTTCCCCTCAATTTTTCTGTTTCTTTTCCTGTACTGTTTTACAGTATTTATTTTGCTCTTTCAAAACTGTCTGAAGCTGCACTCATACTTTTCCACATTTTATATTGGAGAGGAAGTAAATGGACACTTGCTTCACAGTATGTTAGTCAATCCAGCAAAGAGAAATCTATAGCTGTGATTAAAAAATTGTTGCAAATTTTTTTTTAAAGAGAACCAACTGCTGAAATGGTTACAACAAATTCTATGTCACCTTGGTGAGATTCAATCAGCTAGACAGTTTCCTCATAGTTAAATGTATCCCTAAGTTGTCAACATAGTTATTTTCCACAGTTTGTCAAATCAAGTAGCAGGTAATTTTTGAATGCAGACTTGAAATTAATTTTTACAACAACCTAGTTATTAACTTTTTCCTCCTTTCATTTTTCTGAATGTGACTTTTTTTTTTACATATGACAGGGTAGAATAGATGTAATATTTTAAATAAATATAGCCTCTGGTTAGTCTCTTGTATGCACTATCATAAAACCGTATCGTTGTTTTCTCCACTAGGATACACGTCGTTTTGCAATGGTACTGCCAAAAAACTTCATTCTATTCCACACTTCATTGTTCTATCTCACATCTACATAAACTATGTAAATTCTTCTACTGTTCTCATGAGTAGGATATGTCTGTGAGAGGAACAGACATATACACTTACTAATAACAAAATAGGCACAATACCGTGACTGGAACGATACACAAATAACTCGCAAATAAATAACAAAAAAGGCACAATACCGTGACTGGAACGATACACAAATAACCCACACATAGAAGAGAGGAGCTTACGACGACGTTTCGGTCCGACTTGAACCATTTACAAAGTCACACTAACGAGAAGTAGAGCAGGAAGGGGTATATATAGGCAGGAAGAGGTGGTGTTGGTGGTGGCGGCGGTGGTGGCGGTGGTGGCGGTGGCAGCAGCGGCGGAAGCAGCAGCAGCAGCGGTAGTAGTAGTAGTAGTAGTGGTGGTGAATGAGGACGAGCCAGTCAAATACAAAGAAAGGGGAGCACTGTAAAGGAGCTAGGTGCCCACAGAGGGAGAGCAAGAACACAGAGGTGGGGAAGAAGGGAAAGTGATGAAATAAATGATGAAGGAACAGAAACACGAGACAGAAGAAAGACAACCCAGAGGAGAAAAGGGAAAGAGGAAAGGAGAAGAGGAAGAAGAAGAAAAAAGGAGGAATCAGGTTACATCACGGGTGTTCTGAAGTTTGGAGCTTATGACGACGTTTTGGTCCGACCTGGACCATTTACATTGTCACATTAATGAAAAGAAGAGAAGGAGGGAGTATATGTAGGCAGGAGGAGGTAGTGGTGGAGGTAGAAGGTAGTAGTGGGGAAGGTAGTATGGTGGAGGAGGAGCCAGTCAAATACTAAGAAAAAGGAGCACTGCAAGGGAGCTAGGTGCCCACAGAGGGTAAGAGCAAGAACATAGACGGGGGGGGTGGAAATAAATAAATAAATAACTAATGAAGGAACAAATACCTAAGGCAGAAGAAAGACAACCCAAAGGAGAAAAGGGAAAGAGGAAAGGGGAAGAGGGAGAAGAAGAAAAAGGAGGAATCAGGTTAACCCTTTCAGGGTCCAAGGCCCAAATCTGGAGTCACGCACCAGTGTCCAAGAATTTTCAAAAAAAAAATTTGTTATTTTTTCTTATGAAATCGTAGAGAATCTTTTTGTGAAGGTAATAAAACAAAAAGTACGAAATTTGGTGGAAAATTGACGAAATTATGCTCTCGCGAATTTTGATGTGTCAGCGACATTTACGAATCGGCGATTTTGCCGACTTTGACTCCCATTTTAGGCCAATTACATTATTCCAATCAACCAAATTCTTAGCTATTTCACTAGTATTACTTCTATTCTATCGATTGAGCACAAGAAATCGCCAAGTCAACTGTTTCAACTACAAAATAAAGTGATCGGAAATTGTTAATTTGGCCAATTTAACACAAAGTTCAAAATATTCCAATTTCAAAATAGGCTCCAGAATAAACAATGTAGGTATTCCTGGAACTAAACTAACATTTCCTCTGTTCATTAGTTATGTTTTGAGGCTTTACAAATAAATTCCATTTTGATTTTTTATTCACATAATGAATTTTTATTCACACCAAAAAATAGAAGATTTACTGTTATACAATACTGTAATAATTGTATAAATATCATCACCATATTTGTGAATGTATATTAGACCCTCCAGCTGACGTGTATTAGATGTGTGAGGTCGTTTGTTTACTCTTGAATATCGGCAAAAATTTAACATTTCCGCTACTTTGAGCTCAGTTTCAAGCCATTTCCAGTGCTAAAACCAATCAAAATCATCTCTATTTCTGTAGTATGTCTTCCATTCTATCAAATGAGACCAAGAAATCGCAAATACAACTATAAAAAACATACGAAAAAACACTGCAAAGTTGCTGTTTTAATCGAAAAATCATGATTTCATTTTTTTTCTCTCATTATACACAGTGTGTTGCAGGATCTGTTTTATGTGGTGCACACATACCACATAGATGTATTCTCTCATATCTAGGCCCAAATGTACCACTCACAGTTTATCAGAGTGAGCTGAGCTCATGGCGTAGATCTACGGTTTGGACCCTGAACGTAAAGCCGTAGATCTACGGGACGGACCCTGAAAGGGTTAAGTCACGGGTGTTCTGAAGTTTGGAGCATTTCACAAGTCGTAAGCTCCTCTCACCGCTGGGCAACGGCGACAATTATTTTATGGGTAGTAGGCTGGTAGACAGCAACCACCCAGGGGGGTGCTACTGTCCTGCCAAGTGAGTGTGAAACAAAAGCCTGTAATTGTTTTACATGATGGTAAAATTGCTGGTGTCTTTTGTCTGTCTCATAAATATGCAAGATTACAGGTACGTCTTGATACTTCTACTTACACTTAGGTCACACTACACATACATGTACATGTTTATTTATACACACTTATCTGAGTTTTCTTTGATTTTATCTTAATAGTTCTTGGTCTTATTACTTTTCCTTTTATATCCATGGGGAAGTGGAATAAGAATCTTTCCTCCGTAAGCCATGCGTGTTGTAAAAGCCAACTAAAATGCCGGGAACAATGGGCTAGTAACCCCTTTTCCTGTAATAATTACTAAAAAGAATAAGTGGTGAGAGAGTGCAAAAGGAGAGCAGATGATAAAGTGGGAGAGGCACTGTCAAGAAATTTTAATGAAAATAAGAAAAAATTTTGGAGTGAGTTAAACAAGTTAAGAAAGCCTAGAGAATGAATGGATTTGTCAGTTAAAAACAGAGTAGGGGAGTTAGTAGATGGGGAGATGGAGGTATTGGGTAGATGGCGGGAATATTTTGAGGAACTTTTAAATGTCGACGAAGAAAGGGAAGCGGTAATTTCATGCACTGGCCAGGGAGGTATACCATCTTTTAGGAGTGAAGAAGAACAGATGTGAGTGTGTGGGAGGTGCGTGATGCATTACGTAGAATGAAAGGGGGTAAAGCAGATGGAACTGACGGGATCATGACAGAAATGTTAAAAGCAGGGGGAGATATATAGTGTTGGAGTGGTTGGTATTTTTGTTTAATAAATGTATGAAAGAGGGGAAGGTACCTAGGGATTGGCCGAGAGCATGTATAGTCCCTTTATATAAAGGGAAGGGGGACAAAAGAGATTGTAAAAATTATAGAGGAATAAGTTTACTGAGTATACCAGGAAAAGTGTACGGTAGGGTTATACAATTGAAAGAATTAGAGGTAAGACAGAATGTAGGATTGTGGATGAGCAAGGAGGTTTCAGAGTGGGTAGGGGATGTGTAGATCAAGTGTTTACATTGAAGCATATATGTGAACAGCATTTAGATAAACCTAGGGAAGTTTTTATTGCATTTATGGATTTAGAAAAGGCATATGATAGAGTGGATAGGGGAGCAATGTGGCAGATGATGCAAGTGTATATGGAATAGGTGGTAAGTTACTAAATGCTGTAATGAGTTTTTATGAGGATAGTGAGGCTCAGGTTAGGGTATGTAGAAGAGAGGGAGACTACTTCCCGGTAAAAGTAGGTCTTAGACAGGGATGTGTAATGTCACCATGGTTGTTTAATATATTTATAGATGGGGTTGTAAAAGAAGTAAATGCTAGGGTGTTTGGGAGAGGGGTGGGAATAAATTATGGGGAATCAAATACAAGATGGGAATTGACACAGTTGCTTTTTGCTGATGATACTGTGCTTATGGGAGATTCTAAAGAAAAACTGCAAAGGTTAGTGGATGAGTTTGGGAGTGTGTGTGTAAAGGTAGAAAGTTGAAAGTGAACATAGAAAAGAGTAAGGTGATGAGGGTATCAAATGATTTAGATAAAGAAAAATTGGATATCAAATTGGGGAGGAGGAGTATGGAAGAAGTGAATGTTTTCAGATACTTGGGAGTTGACATGTCGGCGGATGGATTTATGAAGGATGAGGTTAAATACAGAATTGATGAGGGAAAAAAACGTTATCTACAGAGGCAAAGATATAGTAGTACCAAAGTATAGTAGTAACAACACTCTTATATGGGTGTGAAGCTTGGGTTGTGAATGCAGCAGCGAGGAGGCGATTGGAGGCAGTGGAGATGTCCTGTCTAAGGGCAATGTGTGGTGTAAATATTATGCAGAAAATTCGGAGTGTGGAAATTAGAAGGTGTGGAGTTAATAAAAATATTAGTAAGAGGGCTGAAGAGGGGTTGTTGAGGTGGTTTGGTCATTTAGAGAGAATGGATCAAAGTAGAATGACATGGAGAGCATTTAAATCTGTAGGGGAAGGAAGGCAGTGTAGGGGTCTTCCTCAAAAAGGTTGAAAGGAAGGGGTAAGGGAGGTTTTGTGGGCGAGGGGCTTGGACTTCCAACAGGCATGCATGAGTGTGTTCGATAGGAGTGAATGGAGACGAATGGTATTTGGGACCTGACGATCTGTTGGAGTGTGAGCAGGGTAATATTTAGTGAAGGGATTCAGGGAAACCAGTTACGTATTTTTATATAGCCGGACTTGAGTCTTGGAAATGGGAATTTTAATGCCTGCACTCTAAAGGAGGGGTTTCGGGATATTAGCAGATTGGAGGGATATGTTGTCTCTTTATACGTATATGCTTCTAAACTGTTGTGTTCTGAGCACCTCTGAAAAAACAGTGATTATGTGTGAGTGAGGTGAGTGTTGAATGATGTTGAAAGCATTTTCTTTTTGGGGATTTTTTTTCTTTTTGGGTCACCCTGCCTCGGTGGGAGACGGCCGACTTGTTAAAAAAAAAAAAAAAAAATCCTCTTCTATGTGCGGGTTTTTTGTGTATTTGTACTTACTGTTTGCACAATAAATGCCATCAGTATATCCATCTAGACCTCCTTCAACTTTTACCAAAAATTAACTAATTATACCATCCACAATGGGAATAAATGTTAATACATATACAAAAGTGATAACTTTTGGAATGTGAGCAGAAAAGGGGGACCCAATGAGTGGATTTTACAATAAACAGTCAAAAAAAAAAATCATTTCATTCCCATGTCACAGTCACACACCCAACTGTTTAAGATACAGTAAAATGCTGACTCTGATTATGAGGACGGGTTAACATACCACTACATATGGCACACAGTGCACTTTATATCCTTCTCCTACTAAGACTTGCTTCCTAGTCTTAATTTATTTTTCATTTGTATTTTTCCATCACATCTTTAATAAACATCACTACTGTAACTTATATCTAAAAATACTGACAACTTTGAATTGCAGTATTTAACATCAAATTAAAAGTAAAATTAGGAGCTAATTTTTAAATAGAAAAGAAAATTATTCTACCAACAGAACAACAAAAGAACAAGCAAGGTCATTTTCACCAGTTAACATAAAAATGAACCATAAGAAAAAAATACATACGAGAGTATAGTTATACCAATGCTCTTATATGGGTGCGAACTATGGGTGGTGAATGTTGCAACAAGGAGAAGGCTGGAGGCAGTGGAGACGTCATGTCTGAGGGCAATGTGTGGTAAGAATATAATGCAGAGAATCCGTAGTTTGGAGATTAGGAGGAGGTGTGGGATTATCAAAACTATTATCCAGAGGGCTGAGGAGGGGTTATTGAGGTGGTTCAGACATGTAGAGAGGTTGGACCAAAATTGAACAAGAGTGTATAAATCTGAAGTGGAGGGAAGGCAGGGTAGGGGTCACCCTAGGAAAGGTTGGAGGGAGGGGGTAAAGGAGGTTTTGTGAGAGAGGGGCTTGGACTTCCAGGAAGCATGCATGAGCATGTTAGATAGGAGCAAATGGAGACAAATGGTTTTTAGGACTTGACATGCTGTTGGAGTGTGAACAAGGTAACATTTATGAAGGGATTCAGGGAAACCGGCAGGCCAGACTTGAGTCCTGGAGATGGGAAGTACAGTGCCTGCACTCTGAAGGAGGGTATTAATGTTGCAGTTTTATAACTGTAGTGTGAGCACACCTCTGACAAGACAGTGATGGAGTGAATGATGATGAAAGATTTTCTCTTTTAGGCCACCCTACCTTGGTGGGAAACAGCCAATGTGTTAATAAAAAAAAATTAAGAAAAAATTTACTTCTTTACAATAAAACCATTCTCACACCCAAAGTGCATACATTATCAAATTAATAAAAGAAGTTGACCAGTTTTGAGCACCCTACCATCGCAGCCAGGACCGAGGTCAGGCTTCCCTGTTGATTGCTTGGTTAACCCAGTTGTTTGTGTTAGTGGCCCACAGATGCACATAACCATCAAAACCCAGCTGATCTAGCAGTTGTAGAAGGAAGTTACTTAGCTGCTTCTTGAAAACTTTTATCTTCATTCTGGCAATATTTTTGATATCCACTGGCAAATATGTTGGAGTGTCTTGGATCAAGACCTCCTAGCTCTTCACTAGGTTTAAACCACACTTTTTCCCCTATCTTTTGCTTCAGTAAATTGATAGATGAACCAGAATGTGATGGATATATGGAAAGTGAGCTGCCAGCAACAAAAGCTTGGTTGATAAGGCAAGCACCAGACAAGCCTGCCCAGGACTGGTCTGTGTGAGTAGGAAAACTCTGAAAATGCATCAAAGATATATCAAGGAGTGCAAGTTAGGGACCCAGCTCCCAAGTATCTTCCATGTACAACATATAATATCAAACACTTAGGTCCGGGGTTCGAATCTCCTCCAGTACGGCTGGAAAACATCAGGGACATGTTTCCATAAGACACCTGCTGTCCCTGTTCACCCATCAGTATAAAATGGGTACCTGGGTGTTAGTCAACTGGTGTGGGTTGCATCCTGGGACAAAACTGACCTAATTTTCCTGAAATGCTCAGCGTAACAAGCAGCTTTCTATACAGCAGTATATGTCATTTATGTCAGCTAGGCCAGTATACCTTGTACATGTACTTGTAGTAAATAAAGATATTTATTTTATTTATATTTCTCTCTCTTCTCCATGCTAGAAAGAACAATCAAAGTGCTGTGAGGTATTACAATAGTTTAGATCAGTGGTCCTCAACCTTCCTATATAAGTAGGCCACATTTGATGGTCAAATGTGTGATGAGGGCTGCAGGGTTTTGTTGACATTGTGCAGTGTGGACCCCACATAAAAGTGAATTCATAATTTGATGTGAGGGCCCCATCCATTTCCTAGAAGGGCCACATGCAGCCTGCAGGCTGCAGGCTGGGGACCCCTGATTTAGATAATTTGAATATCATCCCTCCAGCCTGGTCCCATACCAATCTTCCCAGTTGGCAGCCTCTTCATTGAGGTTGTTTTTACTAGCTGTAATTATTTTTATAGTTTGCATACAAGATGCTCTTTCCAAATATAATTTACCCCAATGTATTTTTAAGAGTATCCACAGGAGTGTGTAAAATAATTAACAGTGTACCAGTTTACAGAATTCCTAATTCTAGATATGCTTGATCTTCAGAATTAATAATGTTTAACAAATGATGTTACTCACCTTACTGATATAGTGACTGTATCTGGGGGATACTCCACTTGCATCAATTGCAATTATGGTGCCTTGATTATCCAGTTTGGTGGTAAACTGTTCAACTGGAGTACCCTGTATACGCTCGTTGGGCGGAATTCGCCGTACTAAACAAACTAGGCACTGTTGTCCTTCACCTTCAAAGGATTCACTATTATTTTTGTCCACAAAATACGATGGCAAAAGCACTGTTGAAATCTAAAAAAATAAAAGAATATACTTAAAGTAGCCAAATTAAAATAGTACTGTAAGATAGCAATAATTTAGTTATGAATATTAATCAATACTATTACACTGGAGTCATTTTACATTACAAAAGTGTGAATTTTAGCTTGTGTATATTACTATCATAAGCAGTAAACCAGTAGTTTAAGTATGTGTGAAATTAGATTTTTTGTATATACAGAATCATACATTATATATGTATAATACTAAATATACATATGCAAATTATATACAGTTTATATAAGTGTGTATGCCTATGCACAGTATATAATTATGATTTTTTTGTACAAAGATATTCTTATCAGTTATACTGACCAGTCTGCTGGGATGTTAGGAAAAATGGTTTTCACTTGTGATTTCGCAGTGACTGGTATCTTGGGGAATGTAAATTATGAGAATGTGGCCAACACTGTTAATGATGAACTACAAAAAATATCTACTGGGATGATGACTAATAAGATTACCCTCAATACTGACAAAACCTATTTCATTCAGCTTGGAAACAGAGCTGCAAATGTTCCACTTAACATAATGCTAAATGGGTTACCCATCACAAGACTCACAGCGGGAAAATTCCTAGGAATCCACCTTGACAGTAGCCTCAAATTCCAGACACATATACAACAAATTTCCAAGAAAATCTCTAAGACAGTAGGCATACTATCAAAGGTACAGTACTACTTTCCACAATCAGCTCTCCTTGCACTGTATCATTCACTCACCTACCCTTATCTCACATACGGGATTTGTGCATGGGGATCAACAACACTACATCACCTAAGGCCACTAATAACCCAGCAAAAGGCTGCAGTCAGAACGATAACAAATTCCTACTCCTGACAGCATACTCCACTAATATTCAAAAGTCTAAAACTGCTCAACGTAAAGAACATCCATACTTACTCATATGCCCCTCCACTCCACCTTCTTCTCACCAACCTTAACAGGTCACACGACCATAACACAAGACACAGATCTCTTTTTGATGTACCCCGTGTCCGTATCACACTGTGCAAAAACTCCATGCACATAAAGGGCCCCAAAATTTGGAATTCATTACCAGTAAATACTAAAGTAACCCAGTCTGAACATCAATTTAAGACTCTTCCCAAAAACCACTTACTCACCCTAAACTAAATGCTCAATATTTAACTTTACCAAAAAATCTCCCAATTAACTAAATCTTAAAACTTCAAAACGCGACGCTCAAAGTTCATACATTGATTAGAACTACCTTGTAGTATAAATACCTACCCAAAACATTACTACCCAATTGTAGCATTCTCATACTGCAAACTGCTTTCAACAACTCACAATATTATATTCCCATAACATAATTTCAATATTTACTATTGAAGCAATTGTAATTTGAGTAAAATTACCGTGTACTATATATAAACAAGATGTACAACTTAAACTATGTTCAATTTCTTTAGTATTATGTAGTCTGTAAGCCATTAAATTAAGTTTGCCCATAATGCCTAGGCATGATAGTGGCTCTCTTTACACTGCAACTCATTTTTGTAATTTCATAATCTCAATGTAATTTTGCAAGGAAATAAAAATTGATTGATTGATTGACTGAGTAATACATTTTTCATTGATTTTACTTTGCTGGCATTTCCTCTTTTAGGGATCAGTTCATGTGAAAGTTGAAGATCAATTTGCCCATTTTTCAAGTGCATATGTTTTATGTGTTATTACACCATGATTAAAGACTCTTCCAAAAAATGTGCATCTGAAACCATGATCTAGCAGTTTAGCAGTTGCAAGAAGCAGGAGCATCCAACCTTAAGCCCATGTTATCTTGAACAATGATTTTCAGAGAAATGAAAACAAAATGAACTGATATGTTAAGATAAATATTATGAAGAGTTTTGTACAGCTTGTTACATAGATGACAGTCCTACCTGCATATTCTCATACTGGGATACCCGCTGTTGCCTCTCTTCCATAGTCTCCTCCTGGTCATCTGGAGGCCTGACCAGGAGGCGACAATTAAAACTGCGATTCCGTGAAGAGTCACAGGGAGGTTCACTTGACCAACCTAAAATAATAGTGATACTATACACTTTCGTACATTAAATTTTTACCTGTAAAGACTGAAAATTTTTAAATATTTACAGCAGAGGCAAATTTAAAAAAAATTCTGGCTCTCTAACACTATAAACTACTGTAATACACAATCCTTTGGTTCTGCCAGTACCGTTAATACAATACAGTAATAGTTTCCCCTGGATTGTCTGTCCACATCCTGTTAACCGTCATCATAATTTTTTTTAACACTCTAGCTATCTCCCACTGAGGTAATGATCCAACAAAGCAGAAAAAACTTACACTGTCACTCATTCAATCACTGTCTTACCAGAAGCACAGTGACAACAGTTCAGATTACCCTCTAAACCACAATATCTCCACCCCTTCAGAGTGCAGGCACTGTACTTCCCACCTCCAGGACTCAAGTTCAGCTAACTAGTTCCCTTGAATCCCTACATTAATGTTTCTTATCTCATACTCCAACATCACATCAAATCATAAAAACTATTTGCCTCCATTCACTCCTATCTAACACTTAAACAAGCAATTTGGACGTCCAAGTCCCTAGCACTCAGAATCTCTTTTGCTTCCCCCTCCCACCAGGACAATCCCTACTCTTCCTTCCTCCTCCTCCTCCTCTTCATGCCAGATTTATACTCCCTCCTAGTCATCCTACCTTACTCCATGTTCTCTAAATGTCCAAACCACCTCAACTACTCTTCCTCAGCCCTCTAATAAAACTTTTGGTAATTTCACATCTCCTAATCTCCAAATTCTCTGCATTTTATTCACACCACATACTATTGTCAGACACAGTATCTCTACTGCCTCCAGCCTCCTCCCTATTGAAATATTTACAACTCATGCTTTACACCCATGCAACAGTGTTGGTACCATTATACTCTCATACATTTCCCTTTTAGCCTGCATGGATCAAGTCCTTTGCCCTCACAGATGACTAAAGCACCACCCACCATTTTCCTTTCACCAATTCTAAGTTTACTTAATAAAATAAAATGCAAAACTTGGGAAATTATTGTATTAACAGTACAGTAACTGGAATTAAATGGAAATTCTCATCATTTCAAATAAGTGACTACCTTTCTTCACTTCAGACAGAATAATCATATAGAAGTTTAACACACTTTGCAATAAACTAATTAAAATATCAAATAAGTTAAAGGTCTGGTTTGGACAGATTGGGTTATGCTAATGGTCAAGTTAGGTTACAGCAATCTACACATTCTGATATACTGCACAGCAATGCATTGCACTTTACCTAAGCAAAACATTAATTTTGTTTGGAAAAGATGTAATATTAAAATTACAAGAACTTCGGGAATTCAAATTTGGGTAGAGATGGAAAATGGTGAACTAACTTCTAATACTGCCCTGGAGTGTGTACTGTAATGAATATACAGTATTTTGAGTGAAGTGCTAACCTGTGGGGGTTAATACAGCAACTGGGAAATGGGAGATAATTAAGCTTAATCTAAGGAAAAGGAGGACAGGTCCAATTCTTTGGTTCACAGAGCCCCTGATCAGCATCAAGAAACCCTTGTTGAGGGAATTTATACATACAGTAACTCAACATATAGATGTTACAGTATTTTAATTAAAACTGCAAAATTCTTATCCATATAATTAAATTATCAAAAGACGTTGTTTACACTATACCTACCTAATGACAAAAAACAAGAGGAGAATTTGGGGTGATCTCCTACGTGTATAATGTTGTAGATGCTCTTCCCTGTTAAGTCTTCTGAAGTAAACTTGATGAAGTGACTCACTTTGTCTGATACGAACTCTATCTTTCCCTCATTACTGACAAGGAATAGAAATCCATCTAGAGCCTGTGGAAAGAAACACAAAGTTATTGGCAAATGTAACAAACTATATTTCATTCACACATACAGTGGACCCCCAGTTTTCGACCGGTGCGGAAATCATACAATTTGGATTTCAAGCACTTTTTTCAATGAAATTTCCCCCCCGAGTTTCGTACATCCGCTCGGAAATCGGTGGTATCAGACGTGTCTGCCTGGGCTGCTCATACGTTCGCGACTCACTCTTGGGCACATTAAATGTCTTATTTTACGTTAATATAGACATTTTCATTAATCCATCTATGATATTTTCTTCAAAATTATTTAAGAAAAATGTTATATAGCATATAAACATGCAATGTTTATATGCTATCGAGAGGTTGGTGGAGGGTAAACATTACGTTTTCTCTGGTCCAGCTTCAGAGAAAAAGTGTATGAATCTGTTTTGGCCCAGTAACCGCCCGTAAGGCTTTTGTTTATAATTCTCGGCATGAATTATTCATTACTTCTCCCTTTGTTTATGATGGCATCTAAAGATAGTTGCTAGAAATGATTAAACTCAGTGAACATGTTATGTCGATGGTAATAATATGGCTGTAAATTGCAGTGTATGTAGTCAGTAGGTATACACCTGGGATGTAGTCTGCCTTGGACTACAAATAAATACTACTCACCAACAAGGTATGTAATGTTCAGTTATCATTAAAATTAGTCATTTATATTTAATTCTCATTGTTTTCTGTACGTAAAACTATAGTTATTTTCTATAAAATGTAATTTTTGTTAATGTTTTTGACTGTCTGAAATGGATTAATTGGATTTACATTACGTATTTCTTATGGGAAATATCACTTCGGCTTTTGGCCATTTCAGATTTCGGTCAACCTTCTGGAACGGATTAATTATGAAAGCCCGGGGTCTACTGTATATCAAAAAGAAATATGCTATGTCAAACAAAACCAGCTCACCCAAGTCTGTCCCTGCTCTTCTTCCAGTCTTCCTTCAATTTCTACAGGAAATTTGATACACATCTTGTCCCATTATATTTCTACTGTAACTAAGTAACTTTGTGTATCTTCACTACCTCTATTCAATCACTCCACAAAACTGAAGATCACTAAATCAGTTTGCACATATGATTGTAGTTAACTGCATAAAAAATCCTACTTAACAGTCTATGTCTAATTCTTTTAGGTAGTCTTTAAGCATAAGAATTAGTTTGCCTGAAAGGTTGGAGGGAGGGGGGTAAAGGTGGTTTAGTGTGCGAGGGGCTTGGATTTCCAGCAAGCATGCATGAGCGTATTTGATAGGAGTGAATGGAGACAAATGGTTTTTAATACCTGACGTGCTGTTGGAGCATGAGCAAAGTAACATTTATGAAGGATTTCAGGGAAACCGGCAGGTCGGACTTGAGTCCTGGAGATGGTAAGTACAATGTCTGCACTCTGAAGGACGGGTGTTAATGTTGCAGTTTTATAACTGTAGTGTAAAGCACCACTCTGGCAAGACAGTGATGGAGCGAATGATGATGAAAGTTTTTCTTTTTTGGGCCACCCTGCCTTGGTGGGAATCGGCCAATTGTTAATAAAATAAAAAAAAAAACATTATTTTTGTACCAAATAAAGAAATTAAAAAAAAAATATTTTTATAAAGTAAGCATTTTTATATTCAATAATTGGGAAAAATACCAACAATCACAAATATTTTATATGGTGTATGGAAAATATTTCTTAAAATACAGTGGACCCCCGCCTTACGAACACATCGCGTTACGTTAAATCCTCCATACGAAGCATTTGAACACAAAAATTTTGCCTTGCCTCACGATAAAAAACTCGCCTTGCGTGATTCGTTCAGGATGCATCCCACATGTGGCCTCAGCGCCAGTGTTTACAAGCCAGCCAGTGCGGTCGCATCTATGCATACATTCAGTACATTTCACATTATCCCAGTGTTTTTAGAGTTTGTAACAGCAAAATAAGTCACCATGGACCCCAAGAAAGCTTCTAGTGCCATCCCTGTGGTAAAAAGGGCAAGAATTAGTATGGAATTGAAAAAAGAGATTAAGGAAATGTGTGCAAAATGGGTTGAACTGCAAACCTTTACGGATGAAAATCACCCTGACACAGCTACTGTAAGCCATGTTGGCAACCTGTACAATGACAATGTTATGGCCCATTTTAGGAAAGTCTTAAAGGAACAGGAGGTACAGAGCTCTATGGACAGATTTGTTGTGCAACAGAGGTCCACTGCCTCTCAAGCTGGTCCTAGTAGCATTAAAAGAAAGGAAGTAATCCCGGAAAAGGACTTGCTACCTCAAGTCCTAGTGGAAGGGGATTCCCCTTCTAAGCAATAACTTCCACACTCTCCCCTTCTCCCATCCCAACAATCATCACCAGATTTTCAATAAAGGTAAGTGTCATGTGTTCTATTCTATTCTTAGTAGAGTAGTAATTGTGCATGTCTTCTTCAGTTTGTGTGTATTAAAATTAATATTTCATGTGGTAAAAAAAAAAAAATTTCGTACTCTGGGGTGTCAGGAACGGATTAATTTGATTTCCACCATTTCTTATAGGGAAAATTAATTCGGCTAACGATAATTTCGGCTTACGATGAGTTCTCAGGAATGGATTAATATCTTAAGGCGGGAGTCCACTGTACAAACTTACTCATCCTTTCTGAATTATTGACATTTTTTCTTATCAATTCTTTTATCCAATAAAAAGTAATATCTTTAGCACCACAATACACTTCTTTAAATGTGCTTGTTACTAAATCACTTGCTGACTCTCATGGAAGAAACATACAGAAATTATACAGTTATTTGATAGAAGATGACCAAGGCAGCTCACAGCTCTCTGCAACTCTCAGAATAATCCTAAAGGTCTCTGTGATGAACCCTCTAATAACCCCTTCCCTCCCACTTACCTGCCTCCCTCCTGCCTACATACCCTAATCCTCCCCTTCCCACTCCCACCTACCTCCAACCAACCTGTGACCAGATTCAAAAGTTCTTTTACCTCTGCAGTCTGGCCTGGGTCCATGCTACCTTACTGACCAACCAGACTATTTATGCTAGTGGTTCATGAGGCAACATTAGTCATCACAAACTAAGTGACTCTTCACTAGTAGGAAGCTGTCCAGCTTCTTCTTGAACACTGAACACCTACATCTTTATTTCAGAAGTAAACCCTCTATCTAATGCACTAATTGTACTAATAGGGAGAAGTTTGTGGCCAATAATGGTGAATGTGATGGACAAACACATGATTGTTTTGCTGTGATTATAACAGACAATGCTACAACCAACAGACTTTGGAAGTGATTGTTTCTGAATCAATTTGCCTGTATTTCCCAAAGTCAGTCAAATCGAGGGTTTACTTCTGATATTTGCTGGTAGTACATGTATATTTAAGAGTCTTGGTTCATACATGTTGACACAGTATTCCCTAACTGTACCCATGGTCCCCTGCTCTTCACTGGGTTTATTCCACTCTTTACCTCACATCTTTCACCTCAGTGTGTACCTTAGAGACCAGGCCCTCCAGCTCCACTCTCTCTTGCCTTGAATGGCACTGTGAGAGCAAAAGATATTCATCACTGGCACTGCCTCTATTATTTTGAAAGTTCTCATAATCTAATCTGTCATTTTCAGGGTCTTTGCCTTTATTATATTTTCTAAATGACAAATCATCTAGCTTAGGTACAGCCTCTCCTCACTTAATGATGGAATTCTGTTCCTAAGACAAATTCTTCGCTGAGGAGCATACTATAATGGTAGTGGGTTTGTGTCAACCATCTTTGAAATTGTTTTAATGTCACCTTTGCACCATTTATAACATTTTTGTATATTTTTAAATGTTTATACAGTAGTGTACTGTATATTGTAATAAACAGAATAGAGGAAATCAGCTCTAATATACATTATTTAGGGATGCAATTCTGGTCAGAGAGTCCATCATAAATCCGAGTCGTCGGTAAATGAGTACGTTGCTGAGGAGAGGCTGTACAGTATTTCTGGGACTTTTACCTGTTCCTTACATGGTTTGCCTCCGTTTTGTATATTGTGCTCATTCTGACATCATCATTCTTCTCCTATACCTGAGCAGTTGAAATGTGTTACTATTGAAAACCATGTTACAGTGGACCCTCGCATAATGCTATTAATCCGTTCCTGAGAGCTCAATGTTAGGCAAAATTATCGTTAAGCAAATTAATTTTCCCCATAAGAAATAATGGAAATTAAATTAATCCGTGCAAGACACCCAAAAGTATGAAAAAAAAAAATTTTTACCACATGAAATATTAATTTTAATACACACAAACTGAAGAAGACATGCACAGTTACATGACACTTACCTTTATTGAAGATCTGGTTATGAGTGATGGGATGGGAGGAGGGAAGAGTGTTGATGGTCTTAGTGTTTAGAAGGGGAATCCCCTTCTATTAGGACTTGAGGTGTCAAGTCCTTTTCCGGGGTTACTTCCCTTCGTCTTTTAACCCTTTGACTATTTCAGGCCCCTGTCGCTATGTCGCCAAATATTCGAAAAAAAAAAATTATTTTTTCTTATGAAATGATAGAGAATCTTTTCCCGATGGTAATGACACCAAAAGTTCGAAATTTGGTCGAAAACTCAGGGAATTAGTCTCCCGTGAAGTTAGCGGAATCGGCAACATATGTGTATCGGCGATTTTGCCGACTTTGAGCCCTGTTTTCAGCCAATTTCGTTGTTCCAGTTGACCAAACTCATAGCTATTTCTTTAGAACTCCATTTTATCTATCAGCTGAGTACAAGAAACCGCCCATTTACCAATTTGAACTACCCAATATAGTGGTCAGAAATTGGCAATTTGGCCAATTTCACGCAATTTAAAAAAGATGCCAATTTCAAAATAGGGTCCAGAATAAACAAGGTAGACATTCTTGGCACTAAAATAGCATATCCTCTGTTCATTAGTCACATCTCTAGGCCCCTCTTATATTATTATTGCTTTCTAATTTTATTTTTTATTCATACAAAAAAAT